CATTTTGATCGCGGCTTTGTCAGTCTAAAAAACAACGTCTCTCTCGCGGATTCTTCTTTCCAAAACTGATAATCAATACGCATACTAGCCATTGGCTTCGATAGTTCCCACAAACCATGTCTCATGCCATAAAATAAACTTCGCAACACTTTAGAAATCCCTATCTCTCTCCTTTTGTTGTTGCTGGAACTATGTGGTATGGTTCAGCAACTGCCCCCATTGAATTATTTGGTCCCACTCGTTATCAATGGGATCAAGGATACTTCCAGCAAGAAATATATCGAAGAGTTGGTGCTGGGCTAGCCGAAAATCAAAGTTTATCAGAAGCTTGGTCTAAAATTCCTGAAAAATTAGCTTTTTATGATTACATCGGCAATAATCCAGCAAAAGGGGGATTGTTTAGAGCGGGCTCAATGGATAATGGAGATGGAATAGCCGTTGGTTGGTTAGGGCATCCCATCTTTAGAGATAAAGAGGGGTGTGAACTTTTTGTACGCCGTATGCCTACTTTTTTTGAAACATTTCCGGTTGTTTTAGTAGACGGAGACGGAATTGTTAGAGCCGATGTTCCTTTTCGAAGGGCAGAATCGAAATATAGTGTCGAACAAGTAGGTGTAACTGTTGAGTTCTATGGTGGCGAACTCAATGGAGTCAGTTATAGTGATCCTGCTACTGTGAAAAAATATGCTAGACGTGCTCAATTAGGTGAAATTTTTGAATTAGATCGTGCTACTTTGAAATCAGATGGTGTTTTTCGTAGCAGTCCAAGAGGTTGGTTTACTTTTGGACATGCTTCGTTTGCTCTACTCTTCTTTTTCGGGCATATTTGGCATGGTGCTAGAACCTTGTTCCGAGATGTTTTTGCTGGGATCGACCCAGATTTGGATGCTCAAGTAGAATTTGGAGCATTCCAAAAACTTGGAGATCCAACTACAAGAAGACAGATAGTATGATAGAGCATTCTTTTGTTCCTTTTCGACTTTTTTTGTTTTTGTTGTTATGATTTGAATTTGACATAAAGAACCAGATAAATCTTGATTCGACTCAAAACACTTTGTTTTCACTTTTTTTCTTTATCCGAGAAATGAGCTCCAATAAACAATAAACAGGTATGAAAGCTATAATTGTAAACCACGATTAAATCTATGGAAGCATTGGTTTATACATTCCTCTTAGTTTCGACTTTAGGAATCATTTTTTTCGCTATCTTTTTTAGAGAACCCCCTAAAGTTCCAACTAAAAAAATGAAATGATTTTTCATTATCTCAATTGAAGTAATGAGCCCCCAATATTATATTAAGGGCTCATTACTTCAACTAGTCCCCATGCTCTTCGAATGGATCTCTTAGTTGTTGAGAGGGTTGCCCAAAAGCAGTATATAAGGCATACCCAGTAAAACTTACAAGTAAACCAGATATAGAGATGGCAACTAGGGTTGCTGTTTCCATTATAATTCTAAAAATTCTTAGAATTCCAAAATTTCAAGACCACAATGGATCTATAGGATATAGATCCTATATTTACAGCGGAATGGTATACAAAGTCAACAGATCTCAATCAATATAAAATAGGATTTATGGCTACACAAACTGTTGAGGGTAATTCTAAGTCTAGTCCAAGACGAACTATTGTAGGGGATTTATTAAAACCATTAAATTCAGAATATGGTAAAGTAGCTCCGGGGTGGGGAACTACTCCTTTGATGGGTGTTGCAATGGCTCTATTTGCGATATTTCTATCTATTATTTTGGAGATTTATAATTCGTCCATTTTACTGGACGGAATTTCTATGAATTAGATTCACAAGAATCAAGTAACTAGCTTTTCAATAGAAAACTAAGGTTAAGCATTTAGGTTTTTTATCGTTAGCCTATTTCATTTTGATTTGGTAGTTTGATCGTGAAACTTCTTTGTTTCTGTATTTCCGGAATATGAGTGTGTGACTTGTTATAATGGATCTTATTGATAGTACAGAACATAAAAAAAATGGATCTGTCATCTTGATAGAGATGATTTTACCCCGTCAGATATTTATTCTAGTATCTGGAGTACGGAATATAGAAAATCAAAAATATTCTTAAAATATTAGAACTATGATTCATACTAAATATTTAGACCTCGTAACTGGATTTAAAAAAACTTTTCAAAGAGTTGAAAGAATAAATTGAAAAATGAAAATTATTTAAAACTTCCGTCGATTATCTTTATTTTGATCAACGGACAAATGTTTCTTTGTTCTATCTATTCATTGAATAAGTGATGATCCAGCAGTTCTTACTCAGGGAATTTTTGGACTTCGATTAAAGGTTTTTTTTGAATCATCGTGGTCATGATACGAATCTGATGTTTTTTTTAATTGATTCATATGGTCCTAACAAGAGAATTCCTATCAATAATAATAATTAAGAAAACAGCAGTAAAAAAAAGAACATTACACACAAATAAAAAATGGAAGTAAATAATAGAATATTCAAGAGGCCTACTGTAAATAAAGACGAGTGAGCCGACTTGATATTTTGGCATTATAACCACAAAGAATAGTTTTCGGATTTCTATTTTTTCTTATCTTCCGAAAAGATTGGAATCATAGGATTCCGTTAAGAAGTTTCAAGCTTTCTATTACACATATCTGTTTTCATTACAACCAGTATTTGGGTATTTTTGTTTGAGCCGTACGAGATGAAATTCTCATATACGGTTCTCGGGGGGGTACCTTAGTTTACCTATCTCAATAAAGTCTATGATTGGTTCGAAGAACGTCTTGAGATTCAGGCGATTGTCGATGATATAACCAGTAAATACGTTCCTCCCCATGTAAACATATTTTATTGTTTAGGAGGAATTACACTTACTTGTTTTTTAGTCCAAGTAGCGACGGGATTTGCTATGACTTTTTATTATCGTCCGACTGTTACTGAAGCTTTTGCTTCTGTTCAATATATAATGACGGAGGCTAACTTTGGTTGGTTAATCCGATCAGTTCATCGATGGTCGGCAAGTATGATGGTCTTAATGATGATTCTGCACGTATTTCGCGTGTATCTCACAGGTGGCTTTAAAAAACCTCGCGAATTAACTTGGGTTACCGGTGTAGTTTTGGCTGTATTGACCGCATCTTTTGGTGTAACTGGTTATTCCTTACCTTGGGATCAAATTGGTTATTGGGCAGTCAAAATTGTAACAGGCGTGCCCGAAGCTATTCCTGTAATAGGATCCTCTTTGGTAGAGTTATTACGCGGAAGTTCTAGTGTGGGACAATCCACCTTGACTCGTTTTTATAGTTTGCATACTTTTGTATTACCTCTTCTTACTGCCGTATTTATGTTAATGCACTTTCCAATGATACGTAAGCAAGGCATTTCTGGTCCTTTATAGTAAATATGAATCATAGATATTTGTAATTAATCATTTCTTATTTGGGGGAGGAATATATTTCATTGCTACAAATATGGATTATTTAAAAGAATAAGACATGTATTTGGATATTTTCCTTCAATTTAACAAAATTGGATTATTATTATTTTTTACATACACGAATAGTTGAAGGGAATTCTACGAAGAAGAAATGGATTATGGGAGTGTGTGACTTGAACTATTGATTGGGCCACGCAGATATATGATTTTCTCTTATCTGCCACATTTGAATTTACAATTCAATGTGTCTTTATTCCAACTACCACGCAAGGTCCGTCCCTACAGAGGATAGGCTGGTTTCACTTGTAAAGAATCTTTTCTATGATCAGACTCGATCATATCCTGCATGAACAGGCTCCGTAACATCCAGTAAAAAAAGTGATGTGGGATAATCTGAATTATATTTTCTCTATTTCACTGAACTTAATAGTATGGAAATGCATTCATTTCCTATGCATTGACTCGATTTATGATACTATCGGAGTAAACCAAGTGGATCTAAAGAAGAACAGGGGTTAGATTATATTAGTAACAAGTAAATCCTTTGTACGTAAAAAGTTCCAAGATTTTTTTTTTGGGGGGGGGTAAGAATTGCAAGGTTTGAGATCACCCAAAAAGCACTATTCACTTTGAAAGCCTACTTGGGTATTGAGCGTTTACTTAAGTTTACTTAATAATAAAAGAACTTAATTTTTTTTTTTTGCAGATAAGATAATTGTAACTTCGGAGAAGAAAATAAGGTTTATTTTCTTACATGGAATCTTTCTATATGTGTGGATAACATATGCATTTTTTCTATGGATACATTCGAAATGTTTGATTCGTGCTCGAGCCGGATGATGAAAAATTATCATGTCCGGTTCTTTCGGAGGATGGATCTATAAGAATTCACCTATCCTAATAACAAAAAAACCTGACTTGAATGATCCTGTATTAAGAGCTAAATTGGCTAAAGGAATGGGTCATAATTATTATGGAGAACCTGCATGGCCCAATGATCTTTTATATATTTTTCCAGTAGTAATTCTGGGTACTATTGCCTGTAACGTAGGATTAGCGGTTCTAGAACCATCAATGATTGGAGAACCCGCGGATCCATTTGCAACTCCTTTGGAAATACTACCCGAATGGTATTTCTTTCCCGTATTTCAAATACTTCGTACAGTGCCCAATAAGTTATTAGGCGTTCTTTTAATGGTTTCGGTACCTATGGGATTATTAACAGTACCCTTTTTGGAAAATGTTAATAAATTCCAAAACCCATTTCGCCGTCCAGTAGCAACAACCATCTTTTTAATTGGTACCATAGTAGCCCTTTGGTTGGGTATTGGAGCAACATTACCTATTGAGAAATCTCTAATTTTAGGTCTTTTTTAAACTTTTTAATTAAATGGATTCAATTGTGAAATAAAATATCATGCCATGTATATTGTGTATCTAGGGAGAATTCATTTTGAAACGACTAATCCCTAGATACATCTTTTGGCCTATTCCGAGTATATGGATTTATTCTAAGGATTCAAATTACACATTTTCACCTTTATTTTTATAAATAATAAAAATATGAAAAAAAAAAACCAATGCCAATGGATTTCAAATTTATGCGAAATGCTTTTCTATTTCTAAAATGTCTAATATATGTTTTACATCTTCTACACGAAAATGTTCCATTTCCATAAGGTCTTCTTGACTATTATTCAAAAGTTCTAATAATGTATGAATATTGGATCTTTTGAGACAATTATAGATCTTGGGAGGCAATTCTAATTGGTCAATAAAAATGGATTTCAATGCTATTCCTTTTTTATTTTTCCTCAGTTTATCCTTAGCCAATATATCATGAAAAGTAAAAAGGGGTAAAGTAACCTTGTGTTGATTTTTTTCTAAATGAAAGGGATCTTCTTCTGCATGTAAAAAGGGAATAAATAAATCAATCAAATTCCGAGAGGCTTCATAAAGCGCCTCTTTAGGAGTTAAACTCCCATTTGTCCATATTTCGAGAAAGAGTATCTCTTGTTTTTTTTTCCCATTCCCATAGGAATGAATACTATGATTTACATTTCGAACAGGCATGAATACAGCATCTATGGGAAAACTTCCGTCTTGAAAGTTTTTTAGTGTTTTTATACGATATCCGCGATTCCTCTCAATTTTTAATCCAATACACAAATTAATAGGTTCTGTTAGGTTGGCTATATGTTGTGTATTATCAATGATTTCCACAGAAGGTGGTAAAATGATGTCTTGAGCAGTTATATATCCAGGACCTTTGAAACAAATAGATGCGTCTTGAGTTCCATACAGATTACTTCTCAATACAATTTCTTTCAAATTCATTAAAATTTCATGTACTGATTCTTGAATACCTACTATGGTAGAATATTCATGTGGTATTTTCTCCGATTTTGCACGTGTAATACATGTTCCCTCTATTTCTCCTAGCAAAACTCTTCGCACTGCAATGCCTATTGTATCGGCTTGGCCTTTCATAAGTGGAGACAGAATAAAGCGTCCATAATAAAGACGTTTACTGTCTACTCTTGATTCAACACACTTCCACTGTAGTGTCCGAGTTGATACTCTTATTTTCTCTCGAACCATAGTAATATATATATATTTGATCAAACCCTTGAATTGTTTATTTCTCTTGAAATCTTTTCCATGTTTATTTTTAATTTTACACACGTCTTTTTTTCGGAGACCTACATCCATTATGTGGCATAGGGGTTACATCCCGTATAAAATTTAATAGTATACCACTTCTACGAATAGCTCTTAATGCCGCATCTCT